AAATATTTGAATACTTGTAACATTATTATTATTATTATTATAATATTGTATTCAAACATTTGATTATGTATATAAGTTAATTTATTTTAAGTTGTCATTTAAAAATATGAAATATATAGTTTATAAGGAAATATTTTATAAGTTAATTCTTATTTAATTAGTTCGAAGTAATAAAAGTTTAAATTATCAATTCCTTTTAGTCCTTTAAAATATAATTATTTTATTAAGATAAAATTTGATATATGATAAATAAGAAAAGATAAAAAAATATGACATAATAAAACCTAATAAATATAAATTATAAATAAAAAAATATTAGTTACTACTAAAATTTATGTAAAATATTTAGAAAAAGATAAAGAAAAAGAAATTAACTTTGTGTTCATCAAATTGGTTGAAAAGATTGAAAAAAAAATTGATGGGAGAGATTAAGGAAATGTGAAAATTAAAAGACAAAAAAATAAAAAAGTGGGTAGAAGAAAAAAAATTGGTGAAATATAAAAAAAAATAACCTTATATGTAATAGAAAAAGAAAAGGAAATACTTTTAAAATAATAATATTTTAAAATTTAAATTTAAATATAAAGTCGGGATGGAAACGAGATCGGGGTCGGGGTGGGGATTGCATTACCCATCCCCGCCCCGACATTTTAAAGCGGAAAAACCCGAACCCGCTCCCGCCTCGGTTAACTCGGATTTTTCCCGTCAAACTCGGAGCGAAGACGGGTCAGTCCTCCCATGTACGGGTTTAATTGTCATCCCTAATTCTTATAAGTAATTCACTATTCAATGACCACTTTTGACTTTAATATGACCTGCTATGCCACTTGGTGAGAACTGCGAGAACAATCTAAAAAAATTAGGAAAAACAACTCTTAGAAACATTATTTCTATAAAATGTTATGCTTAACTTTTCAAAATCATTATTATCAAGTTGGATTACACTAATGACAATTTCTTATAAATACCATTGCTCCACTCGCAGTGGAGTTGTTGCTCTTTGTGAGAATATGAGGTGCCAAATTCTTTTTTTCTTACAATTGGACGTAAAAAGATCCAAACTCATGTAAACACCTGATGTTAAATTTATCGAAGATTTATTTCAATTATATTGTTATTTTATATGCTTTTTTTATCACATTTTACATGATTAATTGGGATTTTTATTGACATTGAACAAATACTTTTAAACTTATATTTTTGTGAAGAACATCTAATTGAAATTAATGTTTCCGTAAGATATAGGCAAATGAGTGATTTTTTTTCTTGTTCGGTAGAAATGAAAATGACAAAAAAAAAATATAACTACTCTGACCCATATATTTTAATTTTCATTCGTACACGAGGTGAAAATGAAAAATAGAAAATAAATGTTATTTTATAAAATTATTTTCTTTCCAATAATTAATCATTCTTATATATAATTTTATTTATTTAACTTGAATATTGTTTTAAATTTATGTATTATAAAAATTGTTATATATATATATATATATATATATATATATATATATATATATATATAAAAGTGTATACTACTGCAAAAAATAGATTTATTTTGAAAATATTGATTTTAAAAGTTATTTTATTCATAAAAAATAATTTATATTGTAACTGTAAAAAAAACTTAATTTAATTTTTCACTTATAATTTTTTAAATAAACATTTTTTATGTATTTTTTTCCTCAAACGAATAAATATATTTTTTATTTTATTTTATATCTTTTTCTTTTCTTTTATTTCAAACTTTAAACTTATTTAATTAGTAGAATAATGATACTAGTTAATTCACGCGTCTTTATTGATATTTGATAAGTTCCAATTAACTTAATCATTTATGGATAGGATATATCAATCATAAACTTACTTTTTTGAGAAAAAAGTGTTTAAGTTTAAAGTTTTTAGTATGTACTTTTTTTAAAAGATTTTAGTAATATTAAAAATCTAAATTGTATGTTTATTAGTATTAAATTTAATTCCTATAATATTAAAAAAAATTAAAAATTAAGTTTTTTCTCCAACAACATATCTTATATGTATTTTTAGATAATAACATCAAAGGGATTCTCACACATAAGATAAGAGTCAATTATCACAAAAATTTTAAGGAGTTAAGTTATAAATATTTGAATTTTAATCAGTTTTGTTTTTCCTCAATATTTTAAGATTTAAATATTATTTTATTAACATTAGAGTATTAGTGAGTTAAGGATTTATTGAGAGTAGGGTAAGCAGAGATGGAGAAAGAAAGCAAAGTGATTGTGAGGGACACAAAATACAGAAGTTGTGAAAGGACGCTTCTAGGAAGAGCTCCCCACTCCCAAGGACACACAAAAAAGAAGAGTATTGATGACCTAATCACTTTGATTAAAATGTCCTCTATCTTGCCACTCCCTTTCCCTCTAAATTACCACTTTGCATTTTTTTTTTTTTAATGCTTCCCAACTACTTTCCACTCCCTATTATGCCCTTAATCTTCCACTCAATTTATGCCCATATGCCAAATTCTTTGTCCAACCTCTGCCTTCTTCTTGCCTCCTATCAGGTAAACACATCAACAAAACCTTAGGGTAGACCCATTTCCTCTTATTGCAATTCAATTTTCCACAAAACCTTCTTTCTTCCTTTATTACTTTGCTCTCTGCCTTTGTTCCTTCCAAGATGGGTGAGATCACAATCTATGTTAATGATTCTGGGTTTCTCCAAATTCATTAATTTCCTCACTCACATTTCTTTGTGCCTGCAATGCTTTTGTTAATATACTTATAAAAACAATCCAACACTAAGGATGCTCTCAGAATTTCACCAGAATATAAAAATATATTAAATACATATTCTTCCAGGACTCAAATTTTTGCATGCGTTCTTCTAATAAACTTACCTTTCATGAGAATTTTGGTAAAACTTTAATGAAAGTGTGTAGATTAACTAAAGACTTAAATATTTTTTTAACTAATTAGGATGCGTTTGAGGAAAAAAAAGAGTTAAGGTGAATAAAACTTGTCTTAACTTAAAAACGCAACTTAAAAAAGTAATTCAGTTAGAAATTATATTTTTCTTTTCTAAATTTTTCACACAATCTTACGAAAATGAAACTGCTCAAAAGTTAGTTTGGAATACCATGAACATAGAGGAACTTTCGTTGAAAGACTTTTAAAATATAAACCACAAACCAAACACACATTCATGAAGGGAGAATATTGTAAAGGAAGATTTCTCCGTTTAAGTTTGCATTCAGTTACACTGGTGAAGTTTGGTTAATAAAACAAAGCATTGATCTGGAATCTGCATACACGTTGAAACCATTCTTGGTGGCATATTAAGTAGCTTTCATATGTACGCATTGCACATGAAGTTAAAACTAGGAGAGAGTGCAATATTGGAAAAGGGGAAAAGAGAGAACAATCTGTAATAGGTAAAGTGAGAAATGACCTAAATTCTCTCACAATGTTCCCATTGTTGCAATGGATGAATTAAATATTGGGAGAGGGAGTGGGGAATAGTTACGTGGTTAGAAGATGAAGTTGGATATAATTTCTTAATTTTGAAGGAGAGGTTGAAATGATGCGTGGGTGGGTTATTATGTGTGTAGAGTTGTTCTACTGCTACCTACTACTCTTTTGACTAAGGGTCCTCCAGTGGCAATTTTGATAAAGTACGGGGTATCTAATGCCATTCTGAGAAAAAAGCTTATGCGGATTCTTGAAATTTTGGTTCCATGCAGGGGCACTTTTGACAACAGGAAGTACAGCTAAAGAAACACACGCACGCACATAGCTAACGACTTAGCGTGAAGAAGTTGTCTACTGGCATGGATGGATAGGGATGTGAACACAAAGCAAACCAAAGTTAACAAAGCCTCTCATTTCTGCTCAGTGGAACTATGCCTTTTCTGCCCCCATTTAATATTGTTAGTATTATAAAATTCTCTGCAAAATATGCAATAACTTACTTTTTATGTCAATAATAACCGTCTTAAAATAATGTATATATTCTTCTCACAATAATAATAATATTATTATTATTATTTTATGAGTGGATAGTTTGGAAAGAGATAATGCCCTATAATAATATTGAAAACATTTGTGCAATGATACCGTATTCTTATCATCTCGCCTTGCCAAATTCTCCTATCTCAGCTCGACGAACTCGTTGTTTTAAGCTTTTTAGCTTCATTCTTCGTGTTTAGTTGTTGTCTTGCTGTTTTTTTTTACAGTGTGCGGTTCTAAGAAATTAAAATCTCTCGAACACATTCACGTGCTTGTGTTGTTCTTGTTTGGTTCTAGGGCCATGAAGTGCAAGCTAGAGCTTCTTTGCTGAGTGATAGTGAAAATCGAATCTTTTTTAGGTTAAGTTTTGGCCCTTCCTTTTTGTTCTGCGTCTTGGTTGGTAGCTGCTGCTAGCTGACAAGATAATAAGGAGTATCAATTTCTGTTTAGAATTAGAAACCCAGAATCTTGTGATTCTTTTATTCTTTGAAGGGTATTTGAGTTTTCTTATCTGCCTCAAATTTTCAGTGTTCATTTGCATTTCTGAATTTTAAGCTATTGGGGTGGATAAGACAGCATCTTATCAAGGTCACATCCCTTGTTGTTGTTATTATTATCATTATTATTATGTCCTTTTTATTTTTTCTTCCCCTTCAGCCTATTTGGTTTTAGGAATTTGGGTTTGTGCTGTTGTTCTTCAAAATCTCGAATTTCCTTCAATCACAAGCCTAAAAAGCTTTTAGTAAATAGGGGTGCGTGTGTGTTAGCCTTGTGGGGATTCCGTGGATTTGACAGCGGTTCTCTCCTCTCACACAAGCCTACCTGGAATCCGCTAGAGTTGACACCCACAACCTCTTGGCACTGTTTCTTTTTAACTTGTGTTGGTTACTGTTCTGGATGAGTTTGCTCCATGTAGTTGGGTTTGGTCTAAAAGTGGGGCATCTACTTTTGGTGCTATGTTGCTGGGTTGTGTCTGTCGTTTACCTTAACTGGTTTATTAGCAGTGGAATTATGGACACGAAGATGGGTTTTCCAGGTGGTGGGGGGGGTGGAAAGATGTGGCACATATGGTGGGAGAAGATCTCAGGGCAGGGTTGCAAAATTCACCAACAGTACTACCAGTATATTGGCTCTAAGAAAGTGAAGAGAGCGTTGTGGAGGAAGCTTTTGCTGACATGGGTGGTGGGTTGGATTATAGTATCTTTGTGGATCTTGTGCTACATGAGCTTGCAGGGTATTGAGAAGAGGAAAGAGACTCTGGCAAGTATGTGTGATGAAAGAGCTAGGATGCTTCAGGATCAGTTTAACGTCAGTATGAACCATATCCAAGCCATGTCCATTCTGATCTCCACCTTTCACCATGCCAAGAACCCTTCAGCCATCGATCAGGTACTACTCTTAATTTGCTATTTCTAATCAGGACCTAATTCCTCACCTTTTACTTTTAGTCTTCGCTTATTATGCTTCAAGAAGATATGTTACCTTAAATTTTATACACAAGGGGTTCTGCGGAGTTGTTTCATTGTCATTAATTTTGGTGTCTGACAGCATTTCTCACTCCTCTTTCATGAAAAATATTGGGGTTTTAATATTATATTTTGCTAACAAGGTTACTGAACTTGAGCTGCTGGAAAAGATGGAATAGATACCGATTTCTTTCGACCTATCATGTTTATCTCACCTCTGCTACTTAATCTAACTTCCAAAACTTGCAGAAAACTTTTGCAAGGTACACAGAAAGAACAGCTTTTGAGAGGCCTCTTACAAGTGGTGTTGCATATGCTGTAAGGGTTCTCCATTCTGAAAGGGAACAATTTGAAAAGCAACAAGGTTGGACCATCAAGAGGATGGACACTCTAGAGCAGAACCCGGTTCACAAGGACGATTATGCCCCAGAGGCATTGGAGCCATCCCCCGTCCAGGAAGAATACGCTCCTGTCATCTTTGCACAAGATACAATTGCACATGTGATTTCTGTTAATGTGCTTTCTGGAAAGGTAGGTTACTTATACTTGTAAAAATTTTCATCTGAGCCATTTATAATTAATTATGAAAATGCTATGCAATTGACTTAGATGTTATGATGATAGTTTTAATTTATCCATTCTAAGCTCTTTATTCCTGGTTGTATGGTTTTTTACCGTCTTGTGGTCATTCTCTATATTATGGGATAATATTTTTGAAGAAAAAATTATGTATGCTCCCAGATTGTAGTTTTTGTATGCTTATTGTTCCTTTCTCTTGGCTGTCTTGATGGATTGCTCCTAATGGAGAGCAGAATACGTGAATAATCTCTAAGTTGATGAATATCACGAAGCTGAATTGAGACACGTTTATGTTCTATGTCTGAGTTCTGTGTCAACTTTTTTGGAATTATGGTTGTCACAGTTATTCACCTGTTGATCAACAGGAAGACCGTGAGAATGTGCTGCGTGCAAGAGAATCAGGCAAAGGGGTTTTAACTGCTCCCTTCAGGCTTCTCAAAACAAACCGTCTAGGGGTTATCCTGACATTTGCTGTCTACAAGAGAGATCTTCCATCAAATGCAACCCCAAATGAAAGGATTCAAGCAACTGATGGGTGTGCTTAAATTTTTAATTATTTGCATCTGACTTTCATTAATTTTTTTTATGGTCAATTTTTTTATCATTCATATAATTTAGTTTATCCCTTTTTGTTAATCTAAATATCTGAAGTAACTTGTCTACGAAGTAACTAATCACTGTATTTAAATTTTCAGAGAGAAGATTCATGAACTCTACTAATGTAATAAGGGTGAACAATTATTGGCTCTTTCTTGTGATAATTAGAAGTTTTGAATAACAAATCTGATTTTAAATTCAATAAAGCTGATTTGAGAAAGAGAAAAAGGATCATAAAAACAGTTAAAAAGAATAACATTTTTATGTCTTTACTGCTGCTTGCTTGGCAGGTATCTTGGGGGAGTCTTTGATGTTGAGTCATTAGTGGAGAAATTACTTCAGCAACTTGCTAGCAAGCAAACTGTAATTGTTAATGTGTATGATACTACAAATCATACTCATCCAATTGCCATGTATGGTTCAAACGAATCAGGCGATGATTTCTATCATGTCAGCACTCTTAACTTCGGAGACCCTTTTAGGAAGCACGAGATGCACTGTAGGTAAGAGCAATGCTACAGGAGGAGTCTAAAATCTCCGTCCTCCTTAATGCTCATTGTAGTTTGTAAGAATGACAGTGTCACCTTGAAATAGGTAGAGATATATTAAATGGCAGGTGTATTAATGTCATATGAATTAATACTTCACTATCTTGTGTTGTGGTTTTGCTGCTAGCAATACTTAGTTTAGAGTTCTTTTATCTAGAGTCACACTTTCAGTTGATCAAAATTTGCAAAATGTCAAAAGACTTGAACTACTCATGAAATTCAAGCTTGATGCTACCACAGGTTCAAGCAGAAACCACCATGGCCGTGGTTGGCAATAACTACTTCATTTGGTATCCTTGTTATTGCATTCCTTGTCGGATATATTTTCCATGCCACTGTGAATCGAATTGCCAAAGTAGAGGAAGATTGCCGTGTGATGACGGAACTTCAGAAACAAGCTGTGGCTGCTGATGTTGCAAAATCCCAGGTATATGTAACTTATTTTTTAAATATACTTTTTTCTTGTTTTGGCTTAACTCATTGATCATGTGGCTTAATCAATTGTAACTGCAGTTTCTTGCTACTGTTTCCCATGAGATCAGAACACCAATGAATGGTGTTTTAGGTGAGTTGTATTCTATCTATGCTTTAGTCTACAGTATTCAATGTTTAAACATTTCACAAAAATATAAGAGCTTGTTCAGCCATGACCCTGCTCTAAATTAAATTTCAGGGATGTTGCATATGCTTATGGATACAGATCTAGATGTAACCCAACAGGAATATGTCAGGACAGCACAGGAAAGTGGAAAAGCTCTGGTGTCACTTATAAACGAGGTTTTGGATCAAGCTAAGATTGAATTTGGCAAGCTAGAGCTTGAGGCTGTACTCTTTGACATCCGGGCAATTTTGGATGATGTATTGTCACTATTTTCTGAGAAGTCTCAAGGAAAAGGAGTAGAGGTAATAAATCTCCTCTGCTGTTACCTTTTTATCATATGTTGGGATTTTAAAATATGTTAGTCTAATTATAGTTAATGGCTTTTCATAATTTTTTTGGGGAAGCACAGTTGGCAGTTTATGTGTCAGATCAGGTTCCAGAATTATTAGTAGGTGATCCAAGAAGATTTCGACAAATAATTACCAATCTCATGGGTAACTCAATTAAGGTAAGTTTATAGGTATAGAGAAGAAACATTCTGTATAATTGAAGTTACTTAGTCTGGTGTCCTAGTGTATCGTTAAAGTACTTTGGTGATCTTACCTTGTGCTATATCCTTGCCTTATAGGCATGCTACATTTGTCATAGGCTCATGAAAAAAAAAAAAAAAAAATTCTATTAGTGTTGTAGCAAAGCATGACCATATTAGTAGAGTGAAAATTGATGTGTATTTCTTGAAAGTATCATTGAAACTTGATTCTGTAATTGTTTGACAGTTCACTGACAAAGGACATATTTTTGTCACTATCCATCTTGTTGAGGAAGTTGTCCATTCAATAGAGGTTGACAAAGAATCGAACTCAGAAAATACTTTGAGTGGTTCCCTTGTTGCTGATAGTCGCCGCAGCTGGGAAGGATTCAGGGCTTTCAGTCAAGAGGGACCTCTTGGTTCCTTCTCATCCCTCTCCAATGATCTTGTCAATTTGATTGTATCTGTCGAGGATACAGGTGAAGGCATTCCTCTTGATTCTCAACCCCGCATCTTCACCCCATTCATGCAGGTAGGTCCATCCATTTCCAGAAAGCATGGAGGAACAGGTATTGGCCTAAGTATTAGCAAGTGTTTGGTTGGTCTTATGAATGGAGAAATTGGATTTGTGAGCATACCCAAGATTGGATCCACATTCACTTTTACTGCTGTATTCACCAATGGTCTCCGCAATTCAAATGAGTGTAAAATTCAGCAAACCAGCAACCAACAGTCTGCATCTTCAGAATTTGAGGGGATGACTGCATTAATTATTGACCCAAGACCTGTTAGAGCAAAAGTGTCAAGATATCACATCCAACGGCTTGGCATTCATGTTGAGATAGTTTCTGATTTAAACCAAGGTTTGCTAACCATAAGCAATGGGAATATAGTTATTAATATGGTCTTGATTGAGCAGGAGGTTTGGGATAGAGATTTAGGCTTGTCATCTCACTTTGTCAATAATACAAGGAAAATTGATCATGGTGTTCCTCCAAAGCTGTTCATTCTTGTTAATTCTAGTACTTCTTTTAAAGCTAGTGTAAACACGGATGCTGATAATCCTACTGTCATCACCAAACCTCTGAGAGCAAGTATGCTTGCTGCCTCACTACAACGAGCCATGGGTGTCCAAAACAAGGGAGCTCCTCGAAATAGAGAGCTTCAAAGTTTGTCTCTTCGCCATCTTCTTCGTGGCAGGAAAATTCTAATTGTAGATGACAATGCTGTGAACCGTGCTGTAGCAGCTGGTGCGTTGAAAAAGTATGGAGCAGATGTGGTTTGTGTTAGCAGTGGGAAAGAAGCCATCTCTTCCCTGAAGCCACCCCATCAGTTTGATGCCTGTTTCATGGATATTCAAATGCCTGAAATGGATGGGTATGTATGCAACTGGAATACTTTTTTTAAGAATCTAATAGTTTATCATTTAGAGTAATGTTTATAATTTCTACTGACATAGAAAAGAGTTTTTAATGCTTTTATAGATCTCAAAGATAATTACAAATATTTACTGAACAGTTAACAACAGAGGAAACGTTTTGCACTAAGTAATCTGTATTAGCACATGAGGTGTTTGGAGTCTGACTTCCCCCAGCAATACTATAATTCATTTGACAATTCTATAAACAAAAGCCCTGTCTCATTAAGTGAGGTCGGTTACATAGATCAAATGATGCCATTCTTAGTGATATTATTTATCATTAAATCTCTTCCAATAATTTTCTTTAATGTCCCTCCTCGCCTCCCTCAATCCCTTTTTAAAAGGGCTAAAAACCATGCAAATTAATCTCCTTATTGTCCCTCTATTGACCTGTACATGCGTCCAAACCATCTTAATTGATTATATCATTTTCTTGACAGTCTATCAATATCTCCTAGTATACAATAATTCTGTATCTTGTTCTTTCTTGTGTAGTGTCTATCTTCATGTACTCATTTTTGTTATTCCCATTTTTTTCAGTTGATGCCCTTTTACAAAACTTAGTCTTTACTACCATAAAGTATATTTTATCATATAATAGTACGATAAAACTTCTTTCTGAACTTGGTAAACACATTGCAGTGATAAATAACCCTCAGAGGGCATTTGGTACCAGAGAATAACCCATTGCACTCGCTTTCCAATCCTTGTCCACAAAAATAACCACAATCATTTCCCGAACTTTCTCTATATACCAAAATATAAATCTAGAAGTGTCTTACTCCTTGACTTATTCTCCAACCCATACGTGACATTTATATCATTCACCAAATCATAATGTCCAACACCTTGGAAGACTTACCTTCCAATGTACCGATATTCCAAGCATAAAGTCTATTCAGGCACTGCTAGAGTAGTTGCTTTTCCCACATTTGTCTAGATAAATGTGAGAGCTCTTGCTTATTTAACTCTACATTTAAGCCTTTGATGTAGCAGACGTAGCTTTCAACATTGTGCTCAAGTCAAAGTGATGTTTTCAAGTGATGACCTAGCATCGACACACATAATCCATAGTTAGTGATCCATGTTTGAACTTTCAACGAATTTTGTGTTGGTGGGCAAGGGCCAAACACAACTCTCCTCTTTACTCAGTCCGGATTAACTCATTTGACGGTTCTAAATAAATAAATAAAAAATCATTTGAAGTATTAATTTATGTACTTTTTATTTCTAGATCCTTATCATCATGTTACAATTTTCTAATTTATTTTTTTCCAACAGTTTTGTAGCTACAAAGCGAATTAGGGAGATGGAAGAAAGTGTGAACAGAGAAGTATCGATGGATGAGAATGTTACAAACTGGCATGTACCCATTTTAGCCATGACTGCAGATGTGATACAGGCTACACATGAGAAATGCCTGAAGGATGGCATGGATGGATATGTTTCAAAACCATTTGAAGCTGAACAGCTCTATAGAGAAGTCTCGCGATTTTTCCAGTCATCTTGAAATGAAAAATACAGTGCTTGATCTAGACCAGAGGATTATTGAAAAGCATAGCTGTCTGTACTCCAGGACACTCTGAAGTGGGTAAATCGGTTTAGAAGTCTCCTGAGAGTAAATTCCGTATTTAACAGCCAGTGCATGTTTTAATATTTCACCACCTCAAAAGTTTGGTGGTTGTTCAGTAGATACTGAAGAATGTTATTATCTCGTCTGAAAGAAAAAGAAAATGGAACAAAGGGGGGAAAATATTGTAGAATTTCAGAAATAGTTCATTCTACCTTTTTGACCTATTTTGTTGTCTTTTCTACTGCGTTTGAAGGTCCCCGGTTTGAAACATTGTTTTTGTGGCAAGGAGTGTACATAGGAGCCAAGTTTGATTGGTTGCAATTGAGTTGTAATTGGTTGTTAAGGGTACCAAAACCCGTTATTCTTCCATGTAAAGTCAGCTTCTCTTCTCATTCGAAATGATGGAGGCTGATTAGAAGACTAGGGTGTATTATAATACAGGTTCTGGAGGCGCATCCTTGTGTATTTAATAATACAACTTATAGTAATCTAGCCTAGGCACGTTACGTTTTATGTGTATTGATGCATGTATCACAAGGACTTGATTCAGGTGAAAGGAAGAAAATTAGCTTCTTGGCATCAAGGGGAAGAAGTGCACCATCAATGTTTGTATATGATTCACAATAAAGATGGTGATTGATGTATCACAGCAGCTTGCTTCCTTTTGTTCTTAAAAGTGCTGGAATTCGGCTTGAAAACATGTAACTGATACATATATTGTAGTGTTTGAGTGATCCACCATTTTTTGGCCGACTTGTACATTCCATTTCTGGATTTCCTTTGACTCAGTGCTTTGCTTTCCCTTGACATGCCGTGGAATGATTCCATCCTTTTATTGTCCATCTCAATAGTAAATTTTCAAAGCCCTAGGAGGTTTTTAACGTGCAGTATGAGGCTATCATTCACTGGGTTAACAGATTAAGTAATGTTTTTAGCATCTCATTCGTCCTTCACATTTAATGATGCAGAGGTTATTGCCCTTGTCCTTCGCCAAGGAGGGTCTGGATTCTAGTTAAGCACAATTGGGCAAAAACAATGTTATTTCTTTTTGGCCATTAACAATTTCTTCGGCTACTATTTTTTCGTGGTTTTAATGGACATCTCTCAATTCTAACTACCTCCTGTTTCTTGCTTAATCCAGTTAATTACAAAACAATAAAAAAAAATTACTAATATAAAAACTTATTTCTGAAATAGACTTTTTCCTAAAATAACTTATTAATAATATATCAACTTTTGTATATGACTGTAGTTTTATGTTTCATTTGAAGTTTCTTGCCTAGAAAAACAGTATCAGGCAGGTCACATGGAAAAGAAAAAATGTAAAATTTCAAAAGAAACATAAATTAATTCATTGCTAAAACACCAAATAAAAATTACGACTCTGAAAATGTTTAAAAAGTTGTAATGTCAACGTCCATTGGAAGTTGCAACTCCTTCACAACGACTGCAACATTCTCATGGCAATGCCAATGCATAAATCATAGATATAACTCTTCGATGCTTCGAAATTCGATAAACTAATCGTTGGAAAATGCAAGTTCGTCGTCACATCTCGCTGAAGTAACTTGAGTACGTTTCACTGCAACGGAACTGATATTTTACATTGACTTTTTCTCCAAATCAATGTAAGTTCCAGACACTTGATTCGACAATAATTTAACATGCATGCATCGATGTAGCAAGTCAGAATCTTTTCCTCTTCCCAGCAGAGACCGTGACAAGGTAACAACACATTTTAAAAGTTGCATGCTTTCATTAAATATCAATAATCAGTGATTGTAGAATTGTTAAATTTATTGTCTGGAGTAAGAAATTCATGTCGGATAAAATAAAATAAAAAGCAATTAGATTAAAAGTTTTTTGAGATGTTTTAATTTTACTGATATTACTATATTATTGGACAGTTATTATTTTTTATTCTAATAAGATAATATTAGGATTTTAGAAAGTATATATATATATATATATATATATATATATATATATATATATATAAATTTTGGTATGAGAGAGAATTAATAAAATTTAATTTTTTGAAATTCTTTGTTATCAAATTGGTATTAAGAGTTAGGATTTTTCAAAAGAGTTAGGAGTTTGAGCGTCGAGAAAATTTGAAGAGAAGAATGGTTGGTCCGTGAACATTACCATTGTGTCTCGGTTGACGAAAGATGTCACCTATAATAACTGGAGTATCTAAATAAAGACTTTTCTCAAAACCTAAGATACCTAGGACGTAGTGGAAGAAGGTTTTGAAGAACCGAAAAGCATTAAAAGATTATCAGCATCCGCACTTAAGGTGTTGAAGTAGGAATGTTCGAAGGACAACACTGTTCTGTATATATTGTATTGAGTGTGTTCAAACTGTGATGAATAAGCTTAATTGAGATGAATAAACTATTTCTGAAAACTGTGTTGCATGAAAAATGTTGAGGTTGTTAACTAATGTCTTTGAGAATAAAGTATGCACGATAAAATAATCGAGGGACCTGTCCGAACTCACAATACAAGAGCTGATTGACTCTCTTGGAGCCTTTGAGTATTAGAAGAAGAAAATGAAGGAGGAGACAATCTTTCAAGTGCTCCAGAACGAGGCAAAAGAGAAGAAAACTCTCTATTATCATAACAATAGAGGAAGAGGGTGAGGACAAGATGACCAAGGTGGCGAGAAGGAAGAAGGAGATCAACAAAATTGTGAGATAGAGGATGCGGTCGAAAAGGAGGTTGGTCGACGAGTCACTCAAATATTGAGTGCTTCAAGTGTGACAAATATGGTCACTATACAAAAGATTGTTACTTGAATAAGTGCTTTAATTATGGAAATGTGGGACATTTTGCCAAAGAATGTTAAAAGGTGAAAGAGATCTATCTCGTAGGAGAACCAACGTTGTTGATTACCGATTACAACTTGATAATACACTTGGGAGTATATTACAACTCACAATTCGGTTTGGTACCTAGATACGGACGCGGGTAATCATGTGTATGGAGACGATCGTCTCTTTAAAGAGATAAAAAAAATAGATGTTGGTAGTGTGTCATTTGACAATGCCTCGAGAGTCTCAGTAAAAGGATGATCTAGTCTGGTCAATCAAAGATGTGTATTTTGTTCCTGAACTCAAAAACAATATTTTGAGTATGAAAAAATTGGTAGAGAGAGGATACTCGATTTTCATGAAAGACCAAGTACTATTGTTGGAGAACAAGTTCAAAAAGGTTGATTGTTTGAGTAGAGATGGAGAGGAATAAAATGTATAAGCCATAGTTGAAGAATATTCAGGAGAAGTATTTGAAACTTAACGTAAAGGACACATTGATTTAACATCATCGATTTTGGTACTTGAGTTTTGGAGGACTAGTCGTGCTATCGAAGAAGATCATGATGCTCAAACTACTAAGATTGAAGAATGAGGGAAGATTTTGCGAAGAGTGTGTACTTGATAAGTTGGCAAAGACCCCTTTTTTGAGGAGTGTTGAGTATTGGACGAACAAATAACTCGGGTTAATTCATACCGATATGTGTGGGTCGATTACCCCTGAATCATTCAGCGATAAGAAATATTTCATGACGTTTGTTGATGAATTTTCTAAAAAGATGTGGACATACTTACTGAGAGAGAAATATGAGGTATTTAAGGTATTCAAGAAGTTCAAGGTGATGGTTGAAAGCATGACTAGGAGACATATTTCGTCAATCTGATTTGACAGAGGTGAAGAATTTACATTGCAGTCCTTATAAAATACTGTGAATATGAAGGAATAAAGAGGTATCTAATAACATCGTACTCACCACAACAAAATGATGTGCCTGAGAGGAAGAACAAAACTTTCTTGACTTGGTTCGATTGATGTTGAAGGCAAAAAATATGTCATGGGAATTTTGGGTAAAATCAATGTAGTGTGTTATCTATGTGCAAAATAGGTGTCCACATACAAAATTGGATGATGTAACACCGTAAGAGACATGAAGTGGTCAAAAACCAATTATGTCTTATCTCAGAGTGTTCAGAAGTATTACTTATGGAGTAGTGTCTTCTCAACAATAGACGAAGCTTGAAGACAGGAGTAAGAAGTATATGTTTATTGGTTATGATGAAAAATTGAAAGCCTATAAGTTGTTAGATCCAATCAATAAGAGGGTGGTCATAAATCGTGATGTCCAACAGTTTAATGAAACAAGTGAGTGGAACTAAGGAGAATCAATGAAGCAAATGACCGATTTTCCAAGCTATGCTTGACCTATTGGTGTAAAATAGGTGTTCATGAAGAAAATGAATGCACAATGTGAGGTAGAGAGGTATAAAGATTGACTGGTTGAAAAAGGATATAAATAGAAAGAAGGGATTGACTATGATGAGGTGTTTGCCCTAGTGGCAAGGATGAAGATTATTCTGTTGCTAATCTCTCTAACAACACAATATAAATGATCAATCATACAAATGAACATCAAGTCAACATTTTTGAATGATGTGCTCAAGGAGGAGGTATATGTTGAGCAACCACCTGGATACATGAAGAAAAGAGAGGAGGATAAGGCTTTGCGGATGAAGAAGGCTTTTTATGGGCTAAAACAAGTTCCTCGAACATGGAATAATTGGATAGACACCTACTTTAAGGAGAACGAATTTATACAGTGTCCTTATAAAAATGTCCTATATGTGAATAAGAATGGAGAATTCAAGCGTATAATGACCATTGAATTTGAGATGACTGATCTTGTGAAATTTTTTCTTGGCTTGAAAGTAAAATAGGAGGAGTCAAGGATATTTGTGTCCCAAGAAGTATGCAAAGGAAATTCTGAATAAGTTCAAGGTGACCGAGTGTAAACTAGTCTTAACCCCCATGGAACCAGGAATGAAATTCTCAAAATTTGATGAAGGAAACCGAGTTGATCCAAGCAGATATCTGAGCTTAGGTCGAAAGTCTTCGTTATTTTACAAGTATAAGAACTAACTTATTGTTGAGTGTTGAGATTGTTAGTCGATTCATGGAAAATCCGAGCTACTTATATTAGAAGGTGTTGAAGCGAATATTGAAGTATATATGAGGTACAATGTCACTCAAACTGTTGGATACGAGGTCAGACAATTACCAATTCATTGGGTACTCGGACAATAATTGGTGTAGAGATGTTGATGATAAAAAGGTACATCAGGGTATGTATTCTTTAAGGAAAACACGACATTTACTTAGTTTTCGATGAAACAGCACATTGTGACATTACCAACTAGTGAAATTGAGTACATAGTAGCATCTTGAAGTGTGTGCCAATGTGATTCAGAAATTTGCTGAGATCAGTGTAGGATAAATTACTCGGTGTAATGGTGATCTGAGTTGATAACAATCAATCATTGAACTGACGAATAATTTGATCAACCATGAGATAAATAAATACATTGATACACATTTTCATTTCATTTGATAACATGTGAATAATAGAAATGTGGAGCTCATGCATGTAGTAAATCAATATCAAGTTGTTAATATTTTCACGAAATCGTTGTCTATTGTGTTATTCAAGAATTACAAGAAACAAATTGTGATGAAGGATGGAAAGAACCCAAGTGTTTGGGAACTTGAGTGTTTAGCAAGTTCACAAATCTTAAAGCTTGAAAAGTCTGAAGGTTGACAAGTTGGGAGTTTGGGGGATTAGTCATTTCGATTTCATTTTTTTTAAGGAATGTTTAATTTTACTGAAAGAGTTTTGTTAAATAAAATTAAATAAAAGATGATTAAATTAAAATTTTGTTGAGATATTTTAATTATGCTAATATTAGTTATATCAAGATATAGTTATTATTTTTTAGTCTGAAAGTTATAAATTTTTATTCTAGTAAAATATTAATAGAATTTTAAGAAGTGTTTATATTTACAGAAATGTAATACGAATTTTGATATGACATAAAATCAATACAATTAAATTTTGCAAAAATTTTTGCTATCAATTCAATCCAACTTTGTATTATCCATTTCTCACAAGGATTTGAATTTGATGGGTAGTTTAGATAGTAGAACTAAGTTTGAACGTGGTTGAAGGTATGAAATTGTTCAGAATTTGCTTATTCGAAATCTGATGATGGCACGGCAGATGTGTAGCAATAATTGGATAATAATTACAGGGGCACTTTATTGGTGGGTGGACAAGAGTGGAGACTCACACATTTCAGATATCGTATGTGGGGCTCACTGCTTCTGTCAATTTCACAATAAATTTTTCCACCGGTTTAGCAAACACTTATTGGCGTGGATATGGTTGTTTATTACCTGGGGCAGCATGTGACGTCAACGTTGTACACGGGGCACAACAATGAAGGGAACTTCGTTCCATCGCACATGAAAATGAAAACGAAAGCCATAGCCAATATGTTTATAAGGTAAGGTGATGTCATAATTTTAGAAGATTCATAATATATAATATATAAATAAATATAATATTTAATATATAGAATTGAGTTTTAGAATTATTTAAGAAACTTATTATTTTTAAGATTATATATAACTAACTTTAATAATATTATAGAAATCTCCTTATTTTAGGTAATGAAAATTTATATTTTTGTTATTTTTTATATAAGTACGAATAATCCAATATTAACTGAATAACAATTCAATTGTTAATAAATAATCTTTTAATATCTTTAGAATTAATTACGTTATCATGTTATAAAATATGAGATATTTAAATAAATATTATTATAAAATTAATTTAAGTAAAAATTATTTTTATTTTTTATTACAATATTAACTGTTGATCTTTATATATAAATTTCATCATATTTTTATATTATAAGGATTTTTTTTCACGCAGGAAGATGTTTTTCTTTTTTCATTTTGTCCTTATTTTAAGAATAATTTATCATCACATCCCTTATTTTAAAAAGATTTATATCATAATTTATTTATTTTTTACTTAAATTATATGAAAATTGTTTAACTTTAGTGTATGAGGTGGGTTTATTATGATAATTTAGCAATTTGATCTTACTCAGCTACATTAATTTAAAAAATATTGAAACAACCTGTTTTTACTTATTATATTAATTTATTTGGTTATATATTAATAGTTAGGGTGTGAATTACTCTTCACTCCATTAATTTTTCACCTTGTTTGGACAAAATGGTTTTATAATTTTATTTTGAACTCTCTTATTTTTAGTCAGCTAACAATAGTTGAGATGAACTAGTTGTTAAAATAAATTATAACCTTAGTTTATCTTATCAAAGAGTATACTAACAATCACTTTTATATGTATTTTTTTAAAATATATTTCTAATTATATGAATAATTTGTAAGTTTTTATTTATTAATTAATATTGCTATTAGATAAATTAAAAAATTATTATATTTATGTATTAAAATAATTAATTATAATTAATAATTTAAATTTAATTAATTAAATTTTATAATTTAAATTACAATATTATAATATATTTATATATTTAAAAAATATAATATAATATTTTTATTATAATTATTTTAATTTTAATATATAAATATATTTTTTCAAAGGGAACCACTCTTCCTATTTCACCCTTAACTTATTAAATTTGCAGATTAGATATATTAAAATGAACTGATATGCTAAAATTAAATATACCAAGCTGATATATAAAACTAATCCATATTGTTATTTTTACATATAGGGTGTGTAAGAAGTATCAATAAATAAAATTACTTTTCCATCTAGTATAAAATAAACTTATTAAATTACTCAGTCACAGAATGAATTCACTTTTTTTTTAGTTTCAAATTGACTTAATTCTTAATGAAACATTAGTTTTTTGATTTATCACTAAATTAATTAATCTTTTTATTTCAATAAAGTAATATATTCATAAAACATTTATTTAAAAAAAATTAAAACAACATATTTATTTGTTCTTTGTATATAAAACTTCACATGAAGGGTCAATTTGTATTAAGGTTAAATTCGGGTGATTATTAGAAACTAGATTTTCAATACAAATCCAACCTCTGGCATTATTCAATACCAACGTTTTTTCACAATGACAGTAGAAAGTTTTATTTTGGAGAAAATGTGTACATAATTCGTCAACTAAAACATTGTATAACCATTTACATTACTTTCATATTAAAAATTTAGTAATTTGAATAGAAAATAAATATTTAAAGATATATGTAAACATAAAATAGTAGAAGTATTTAATTATAAGATAAAAAAATTAAGAAAATAAATTTAGGTGAATAATTTAAAAAGGTCAAAATTGAATGTTATAAACTAGTAATAAAAATGTTTTGTGAAATATTACCAATAATGTCGATATGTCCGAGTGGTTAAGGAGACAGACTTGAAATCTGTTGGGTTTCGCCCGCGCAGGTTCGAACCCTGCTGTCGACGATTTATCTATTTTAATAAATCTTCGACTGTTTTTTTATTTGAAATAACTTTATCATGTAAATTTATGAAAATAGTTTTATAGTTTTTGAACAGTAGAATAGAGTATTTATAAAAAATTGTGGTAGATATTGTTTTCATTATTATTAAAAAATATAACCTTTTTTTAAAATGATGTAAATTTGATTCGTAAAGGATACGCATTGATGGTATATAAGGAGGGGAGAGAGGGTGTGGGAGGTGGGAGAGATGGATCCAGACGCGTTGGCAAAGGCATTCGTAGAGCACTACTACTCCACCTTCGACACCAACCGAGGGGGCTTGGCCAATCTCTACCAGGAGGGTTCCATGCTCACCTTCGAAGGCCAGAAGATCCAGGGCGCTTCCAACATCGTCGCCAAGCTCACTTCCCTCCCTTTCCAGCAGTGCCACCACACCATCTCCACCGTCGACTGCCAACCTTCCGGTGTCAACGCCGGCATGCTCGTCTTCGTCAGCGGCAACCTCCAACTCGTCGGTGAACAACACACTCTCAAATTCAGCCAGGTCCTCCCTCTCTCTCTTTCTTAGGGTTTTCTTCGCACTCCGATCCATCCATTTCCGTTTCGATCTGCTTTCCTTTCATTTAATTCCGCCTTTCTCTTTCGCTTTGTCTCACTGCTCTCTCTGATGTTGACGTGCTTACTAATATACCAAAGAGTGCGTGTTGCTTTTGAATTGGCTGTTGATTTGACTCCTGGATTTTATTAACACGTATTTCGTTGAAAATGTTCATGTGTGAAATCTAAATTGTTTAGTGTTGGGAGGTTTTAGTTTGCTATTAATGCTATTGAATGTGAGGGAGAGAAGAGAGCTGATGGAGAAGGGATTAAAAAAGTTATCGAATGGTAGTTTTTAATGAATTAGATTCATTGGGGAGGATGGCCAATTTGTGATCGAAAATCTAGGGTAACTGCAGAGTCAATGTTTGTTTATTTTTTGTAATCTTATTGGTACATTTTATTCAGAGCTGGAAGCATTACTAATCCTGTTGGGGACCTGAGTAACAGGATTCGAATGCTTGACCACTTGCCTAGCGGACATAAGCAGTAGCTACTTATGCCAACCAGTATCAGTTAATGTTTGTTTGGAGTAGAAACTGACAAAATACATATTCATTGTATTTTAATTTTAACGGACTGTATTAATTGGATCGAAGTTGTTTCCTTGGATGATTATGGATTGGACTGCATAACATCTAATGGATATCCAAAGGCAACCTGATTCTCCTTATTATTTATCGTGCATTTTCTTCAAAGTCTCAATTTTCAGATGCTTTAGAAATCACTAGCTCGACCTTCTTCCACATTTGTTCTATCAATGGCTGTTCTTCGCTTTTTCGTTGATATCAATTTGCAAGCAAATTGTTGCACTTTTCATTGTTGCACTTGGGTAGATTAGATTGAATGAGTTCACCTTGGAAACCTGTGGGGGTACTTCAACAGTTTTATTTTATCAATTGCCATCAGCTTGGATTCTTCCTAATATTCTCAAAAGGTTATAATTGAATTGCACAAGAATACATTAGAGGCTTCATATTTAATGAAATTTGAATATCTATAAGTAGAACTCGTTTATTTCTGACATCTTTGTAAGCAGGTGGGATTATGAGATGGGTATTGTCAAGGTGCCGCGTCAAATTTCACTCTCTCCACAAAAGTTGTTCCCCTAAACAAATAAAATAAATGATGCTTACCAGAGTAAACTACTGGAAAACTTGGCAGTTAGTCACCAATGTTAAAGATAACAATGGAGTTTATGTTGAAATTAATCATTGATACTTACCAGTAGGTGACCTGCCAAATTGCAGCGATCCTCTCTTTGTTGAGAACTAGTGCTGTCTTTATATTTAATATAACCAATTTTTTTAATTGTCACTATTGAGGTATCACTAATTTGTTCTGTTCTTTTTATCAATAAATTTAAGTAACTTAAAAATTTCTGAAAAATAGTTTTCTGTTAAAATGGTAATATAGATGGGATGGCCAGTTCTCTATCTATTTAATCAATCAATCATGAATTGTTTTTTATTAATACTATTTTAGGGATCTTCTTTGTAATTTCAGATAAGGATTAAATTTGTGGTGATAAATGCTGATGGGTTTGATTAACAGAGAATATAAAGAAGAATTTAATCTAATTGCAATTTAGATTTACCTTTTGTTTGACATTCTTTTTAGTAATATTAGAAGTTTTGATGTACTCATTGTACAACTTAGAAGTGTGTGTCTCTTGTTTGAGGAGCGGAATTCCTGATTCTGAAGGGGAAATGATGGGTTGTCTAAATTCTGTTATTTCACTGAAATGTTGCCTACTTGTTGAAGTGGAATTTTGTCTTTAGTTTTACTTCAATGGCAAGTTTTTGTTATTCCGTACTATACATGTGCTCTTGTACCGGTATTTGTGTATTATATTTTTCCTTCGTTTCTTTGTATTTTGGTGGGCATATGCTCTTTTTTCTTGCTCTTCTGTTTCTCTAGTTTCAGTGCATCACTAAATTTGTCATTCTCTTTTCAGATGTTCCATTTGATACCAACTCCCCAGGGAAGCTATTATGTGTTGAATGACATATTCCGTTTGAACTATGCATGAAGATAACCATAAAATACATGAGCTGAAAGGCCATAGAAGAAGTTTGCCCTGTAGCTAGCTGTTTCAGATTGGGCGTTTGAAATTGAAAAAGGGTTATTTTTGGGTGGTTGTGTTGAATCCTTAATTGTGCCCGTTGTGTTTAGAATTTTCTGTTTTGACTGGTTTAAAAAACAACTTCAAGGATAAATTGTTGAAGATTACCGGGTATTGGAGATTGAAAACTTTAATATTTTGTGATCACCTTATCAAGATCCAAGGATCTTGATCCAGTTTACCTCTATAAATTAGTTTATGGTTGTAATCATAACAGCAATGTTTTCTATCGATTTGCTTGCTGAATGAAGGTTGTTTTCTTCACCGAAGATACCATTGTCCATCTTTCGCTACGCGGGCTATTTATCTTTTCTTTTTCCCCAGAAAAATCAATCCAGGTGTTATTGTTGTGTAACAATTGTGGCTAAAATGGGGTTGTTTATTGATTTATAAATATAGTAACAGTTGAGGACCAGGTTTCAAAGGTGACTGTCTGAACGCCGAACTCTACTCTAGTCACTGTTGTTATTAAATTCATTTCATCTTAGCGATATGATGCTGATAAGAAGTGTTAGACATACATGTGAGCGATATGATGCTGATAAGTAGTGTTAGACGTACAGGTTAGCGATATGAATAAGAATCATCTTTCTCCTGCAATGTGAATTTGACTTGCATACATGCAGACTTCCGAAATTTGGGATTAAAACGAGAAAGGAGTAAGAAAACCTCTATATTTAACATACTATGTCCAACGATGCTACATTTTCAGATACCATCTACGCTCAAGGAAATGCGATACAAACTTAATCCATTCAATAACATTTATATTTTACAAAGCTACAACTATACAATCAACACTGCCTCAAACTAATACGTCAGGTTTGTTCTAAGCATCTAATAGACAAAGACCATCGATATGGTTATTCAGAAATTAATCATCCAAAAGAATGAAGATTAGCAAGGGTAGCGTTGTTCCTAGGGAAATGGATAAACATCATCTTCCATAAATAACGCATTCCCCACAGAGGCTGTTGATGATGCTTCGTCACTGGTCCCCGCAAGTTCAGCCTGCCAAGTAATTCAACAGTTATGCAATGACAGCAGCACAAAGCCATTGATTGCACTCTTAAGTGAAAATGGTTGATAGCTCTATAATGCATGTTTACTATTTTGGATCTCTGTGGGGGTGTAAGCTAGAAGAGTTTTTGAGTGTTTCTATACTGAGAACATATATTTTCATTTTTAATAGAAAACTCTCAAAATTTATTCTAATTTTGTATCCAAACAGATTGAGTACGTAATGCCCTATGGAATCCTCGTGCAATACAATGTTCAAAATTTTGAACCAATGGCAAACTAACGCAGAGTGTTTCTAGACTAATTTTTACCTTAGCTTGCTGATATTTCTCAAGCATGCGATGATATTGCTCACGAGCATCTGGTGAGTCGACCATGGACAGCACCCGTGAAACAGCCTTTTCAATTTCTACGTCAACGTTCTGTTTTCGGAACACCTTGAGAATATCTTCATCTTCATTTTCATTTATGTCCATCTCTTGTCGGAAACCTCGTAAACCAGCTCCTTTTCTTCTCCATCGTAGCACAACCTTGTCCAAGATTCCAACTGCCCATATTACCTTGTAATGCTTCCTAACCTGGTAACCCCTCACATGAGCCTGCCCAAATAAATTAGAAATTGGTTGATATTAATGGTGCTAAACATCAAAGTATGTCACGCGCATGTTTGGTTTAAAAATCAAAATTATTCACCATTCAAAGAATCTTTTAAGTGCTAGTTATATATAACTTTTGCAAAATATGCACGTAGTTCTTGGTATTCATTTGCTCCAGGAAAACTACAAAGTTTTACATTTATTACCTGTATCTTCACTACTTTTTGGCGCAATGTTAAGAAATCTTTGCGACCTTTCCAACCACGATATTTCTTCTGAATTGATAAAGCAGCTGAATTATTTTCACGTGAATTCCGAAAGGCAAGTTTTGACAGAGCAGAAATTTCTGGAATGCTACCAATGCCACCTGCACTCGAACCATATCTATCTATACCAGCAGCTGCTTCTCTTGCTCTCCGTTTTCTAAAAGAATGTGAGCGAAAAGCAGATTGTATCCGCGCAGCTGCCTGAGTTACATTTCTGATGGCAGCCAAGGTATCTTTGAGTGACGCCTGATCCTCATTGGCAGCAAGATTTTCATTGGAAACACTGGTAACAGTCATATCTGCCTGAAGCTCAGCAGAATTTTTGCATAATTCACTCTCTTCCAGTGTAAGTGATGATAGATGGCTTGTCACAGCTACCTCTGAAAGATACCCTGCTAGTCCCTTGTTCCCTTTGCTGGCTGCAATAGATGCAGCAGTTTTACCGATTGGATCTTGTGCAGTTGGATCTGTCACAGCTCCAGCAGATGCTCCAGAAGCAACAAGTGAAGCAACCATTTTTTCCCTAATGGAATAACAAAACTTCAGGAAAATAACATCCAAAATACTTCGAAATGGAACAGATAATTATATTTCATGATCAACATGGCAAGTAATTTCTCTGCTGAGAAGCAATCATCCTACATGAGGTTATTAAACATTCAGTGCTGTTATCAATTCGACATTTGATTTCCTGACTAGCCATTGCAAACAGCCAACCAACCTAACTCAGTCAGCATCTCTATAAATTCAATTTCCAGACTTGAATATCCAAAACACTTATCATATCTTTTGCCTTTGCATTTAGTGCTTTATGCCTTGAATAATTGATCAGATAATTTATTCTCCTCTCTTTATCCTTGTTAACTTTCCTTCTGTATTCTATTCTCCCAAGGAAAGAAAATAAAAATATTCATCCACATATATCACCAAGTACGTGTTGTTTGCTCAAAACTTTTAAGTATGCATGTTATCCTATCATCGTTAACAAGCCTGTATAGCAATATTTACGTATTTCACCAAAGTTAAATAATCAATTAACATATTAGCAAGCACTCTAGAGTTAATTACCTTCCGAATCGTGCAGCCCAATGAAGGGCAGTCCACCCGTTGATATCACGGAAATTTATATTCATTCCACAACGAAGAATAGGGTTTAAGGCCCACTCAAAACCCAACCCAGCAACCATGTGAATTATCCCTTGCTCTTTCTTGGACAAAGAGCAGCCTGTTTCTTCATCTCTTTCCTGACATCTGCAAGAAAGCCACTGTTGAAGCTTATCCTTTAGAAGCTCTTCAAGAAGCCAATCAATAGTCCCAGTCGAAGTTCCACTGCCAACTAGAAGAGCTTCTATAATATGGCTCCATGAGTCATCATCAGCTTTCTGTTTTATGAGAGGAATTCCAGATTCTATGTTGTCATTGTTTATTGTTGATGCAGAAAGAAGCATCTGACCTAATCTAACAAGTAATAACAGCTCTTCAGGACTTCTAGTGGATTCTGTTTCCAATTGAGTACACCGGGTGCAACTATAGGTCTTATCACGATATTCATACTCTCTGACTTCACTGCAGGACTCCCGGTTTCCAGAAGTAATGCACAGAGTAACCTTTCCAGGAAGGTGAGGTGGAGCTTCACAACAGATTACACCATCTTGAATTATCTCAACAGGAACTTCAACATCACCAAGCATGCAAGCCCAGGTAGAATCTGACGGATGACAGAGAAAAGACCCAACAATGATGACCTGGCATAGTTATGAAGCTTTCGGAATCAAATTTGGACAAAAATCAACGCAAAAATATGACTTGAACATAAGAAAGGTGAGAGAGAAAAAAAAAAGAGATACACATATTATTAAGTCTTAAATGTCCAAAGACACAAGCTTGGTATGAGTGTCAAAATAGACTTAACTCGATAGGCTAGCCGAAAGACCCAAAAAATAGGTTAGATTAGGCAAAAAAATTTATGACCTAAGTAGAAATAGACCAATTTTAACCCGACCTATTTAAGTCAAGCTAGCTCGTAGGTTTACGGATCGACTCATTTTATAAAATAATAATTGTAAAAAATAATATTATTTTTTAGAAAATATATGTATAATAAATTAATTTGATAATATATTTTATATATATATATATATATATGTGTGTAATTTAGAAAAAATAATAAATCATAAACATAAACTCCATTTACTTTGGTCATTTACTTGGTGATGTTGCCATCACATTTGTTTTCAGGGACCAATCATTTAAGACAGGACATATTCTTAAATCTAGTGTATTTTTAAAGTATCATGACGTGTGAATTATGTTGGATAATAAGACTAGTTCATGAAATAATGAAAATTTGATTCTAAAGTTTACACGATGTATTATTAAGCATTATCTTCCATTTAACTATGTTGAGCATGTGGGAGTTTGGAGGTAAATAAAGTTTTGAATCCTGATTTTAAACCAATTACTACAAACACTTAAATGAGAGAGGTTTATAACATGTATTTAATAGAAAAGAAAAAGCTAAAAGATGTGTTATCTAATATTTATGGTAGATTATGTTTGATTGCTGATATATGTATGGACAACTATAATTTCCAAAGGCTACATGAGAGTAACTCTCATTTTGTGACATGTTAAGCATTTATTGATTTTGTGACATTTTAACCATTTTACTTTGTTGATTTTTTGATATTTTAAACATTCCAATTATGGCAGTAGCTTTAGAATATTCATGTAGCTCATATGTTAAATAAATATAGAAATGGTTTACTTTCAGAAAATGTGCAAGATCCTCCTTTTTACTCGTAATTGGTTTTATGATCAAGGTGGACCTTTTGATATACTTAAATTAGTATTTAATATTTTATAATATTTATATTATGCAAACTTTAATTATTTAAGATTTGTTGTTTGTTTCTTGTTATAAGAAAAAACTTGATATTTTATTATTTTATACGATCAATTTTTGTACGATAAAATCTTGGACAATGATATTTTATGATTTTATTTTGTCCTAATAGGTTATAAGTTAATTTTGAATAAACAAAAATGACATTAATTTTTTAGACAAAATTAAAAAAACTATATAAATAAAAGATTTTTTTATTTTTAATTAGTCAAAAATTGATCTAATATAGGGGCAAACTAAACAAAAATTTTGGTCTGTTTTAAAATATAGACCAAACTAGACTATTAGATTTTTTTATTTGGTCAGTAAGATTAGGCCAACATAAGGGCCACCCCCGTTTTAATAGCCCTAGCTTGGGCAACATTTCCCTAACCTAATTATTAATAAATAGACTGTGATTTATATATAATTGCTTTACACCACCACTACCACAAGAATTTCATACAGATTGTAACGAAGTTAAGAATATATTTTAAAACTCTTCATGAACCGAGGGAAGGTAAGCACCAATAGTTATTAATCAAAAGAATGAGCACACTTTCATTTCATTGTTCAAAAGACGCCACTAATGCAAAGAGTAATAAATCATTGCATAGGGGATGTAAGGAGTTGGGCTTTGAAGGCACAAACCTTAGTAGTCTCAGTGGCATAACTCCATTCTGGGGATATTGTCTTAATAGTAAATTTCTGTTTTTGTGCAACAGTCAAGCTTGAATCTGCATATAGAGGTGCTACAATTGGGCTTTGGTCAAACAATGTTTCATAGTAGTCTGAATTAATTACTCGTGTTTCCACCATAGAAGAATATGCAGGAAATTTGACTTCATCAACACCTTGAGGTGGTGAGAAAACAGCTGCTAACATGAGGGGAATGAGAAGTTGAAGAAACCCCAAAATATGCCAAAAATGTAAAGTTAAATAAGGTGGAATTAAGTCATACAGCTCTGAGAATTATTGCTGTTGAAGTTGAGCCAGTGACTGTTTTCCTGGTTGGAAACTGGTTCTTGTACCCTTCTCCAAGAAGATACTGAATTTTCCTGCTTTAAGAATCAAACATTTTAAGAATTGCATAAACACAACAAAATCATTTCAACATCTGAACAAGCATACATGTCAAAATCATAAATTTTATGAACAATATCCAAAAATACTTACATTTCCAGCTGTCATGTATACATTTTTCGACCGTAAGTTGACAGCAGTTGAGGACTTACATGATTCCAGCACCCCTGTCCATAAAGCTTTTTCATGTCCATCAGGGTAACCATGGTCTATTAATTCATGATAACATTCACCACCATCACCTATAACAATAAACACTTTTAGTATCTTTTACCTTCCTCTCTCTCCAGATGATGTTTCCATAATGAAGAAGACAAAGCAAACTACCGAATTGAATTTCAATTAAAATTCAAAATATTAATTATAAAAGAAGGACTCGTCAGTCACATGCAATTTATCAAGACTAGAACATTTCTTTTATTTTCTTTATCAATCATAAAAGAACACTTTACATATTATGTAACATATGAAAGTTTCCAATAAAACCTTTACAGCCTGTTCCACATTTGAATATGTTCCTCCTATAAAGTCTACTGCAGTAATGTCAATTTCAGAGAAACCTAGCTGTGGTGATTAAGTTGTTTAGAACCATTTTTTTTATACATGCCCATAATAAGAATCACATCCTCTTAAGATTCATCTAGGGGAAGACCCAAGTCCCACAATGATTAGAGATAGTGTCAAAGTAATGTATATGCATCATGCAGGGCAAACCTCCTCCTATAAGCTAGCTTCAGCGTTGGGTTAGTCTCACCCAAAATTCTAACAGTTCACGCAAGACAATTGGCATATAATAATTGGGGATTTTGGGGGCTTAGGTTTTGGTGAGAAAAACTAAACAGAACAGCAAAGAAGATGGTTATGATAATTGTGAATGATGCTCTGCAGAAAAGTAGCAGAGCAGTGTAAGATGCTCTACAGCCAGCAGGCACAGTGTTACGTAAGTAGAAGATCGATATCTCCATGCAAACAGGTTAAATTACAAGTATAGATTATGCACTCAGAAATTTCACTAATGTAAACCATGTGTTCTCACAAGCTCAAGTTTGTTTTATTTACCTTGCCTATATTCATCATAAAATAGCCCTTGATCATCAGGTTCAGAGAAAGCTGCAGATTGCTCTTGATTGTTGATCACCCTTTGATTGTGCTGAGGGTTTGAATCGATTGTAGTTGTAGTTTCTTGCTTATTGCAGAAGGGAGCAATATCTTCAAAGCTGTCCTCATTCAAACTTAATTGTATCTCCAATCGGCGCAAAGCTTGACTAACCTCAAACTCAGATGAGGTTCCTGATTCTGCATCGGTTCCATCCATGTGATCCATTTTATTGTTCAGAACGAATACATCTGAGGTAACTTCTGTAGATCCAGGACTAGAGAAACTCTGATTGGGTTCATTCGAATCACCAAGTATTGACGTAGACCCTGGATTCTGATTAGAATATGGGCTAGGACTCTGACTAAACGCAGAAGAGGAACTTGGTGACAGTTGTGCGCCGGCTCCAGAACTGAGTTTTCCCTGTAACATGTGAGTGCATACGTTAATGCAAAACTCAAAGATGGTATGCACAATTATGTCTCTATGCATATGCTGAATAAAAGAATATGATCAAATAATTCCCGCCAAGATACCAAATATGATTTTTGAGAAGATTTAAGCATATCTTCATTTGTGAAAAGGAAACAATTAGTGCAGAAAAGCGATAAGGCAATGCAAATCTTAGGAATAATCACCGACTTTTTCTTATATCAATTGCCCTTATATTTGAGAGAATTAAATACCAAAGATTCATAAGTAGGAAAATGGTTATCCAATGTGCATCTGGTCTTAAATTAGGATATGGAGGTGAGATGTAGGCCTCCGTATTGGTAAGTCTGGTTGGCAGATAAAGGCATGCTTATAAACTTGGGGAATAGAGTTTCAAGAAGTTAAGAGAATGCATGGGGAATGGCTTCAATTCATAGTTGAATAGTTTGGCACGGTAATTTTCATGAACTATCAATATAAAGAATTTTACACCACCAATCAATTAGAAATAACCCTAGATATTAACTTTTAAGAAATTATTACAAAAGTCAACAGTTTTATCGTACATGACAATCTATGATTAGATGATAATGTATAAAAACTTTTGCACTATCACTGCATACAAATTAAATTCATTATTGAATGAACATATGCTACTTTGGAAGCATACATGTATATTATTAAAGAAGGAAGTTTGAAAATAGAAAATGAGAGAGGGAATTACAACATGGAAGTAATATCAATGGTGAATAAAAGAATCAACATACCACTCAAACAAGACATGTAAACAGCTCGTGCACAATTGCATGAGCCATCTATAGAAAGTAAATATTAAAGAACACAAAATAAACGTTTGAAATTTCTCAAAACAGAAAAATGAAGTATTTGTGTTTTCACAATTGAAAGTGTGCAATCTTGCACAAAAGGATTCCCAGGGTACTATGCACAAGTTACAAGTATTATTATCATGTTTATCTGATATCACGTGTTGGAGACTCACCTCACTTGTGTTTCGATAATGCACAAGAACAATATGCTCATATTCCCTGCCATGAAACAATAGCAAGAGTGATTAGAAACAACAATTACAACAACAAATATACAAGCATATCTCAAATAGTTATGAACATCAAAGGCTGATTCTGTTTCAAAGTCTAGACTAATTTAATCTTTGCAATTCATTTACTGTTTAGTTAACTACCTCTAGGAGGCTTTTTTCTCGAATATTGCATGTTTCTTTTAAGGGAGAAAACATGTCAGAGTGATAAAGATAATAGAAAAGTATGACAATCATGCAATTAACTATTAGTTAAAATTTACTCACGGATCCAGCATCCAGTAGCTCCGCCTCTGGAAACTAGGGTTCTGCTCTCCATGTGCATAGTAACAATTTAAGGCTTCAACATTCCCAACCTACTCATGCAGATTAAAACTTTTCGATTGAAGAAATCAGCATGCGGAATACCATTGCAAAAACAAATGGTCGCCTAAACTCATATATATATATATATATATATATATATATATATATATATATATATATATATATATATATATATATATATATATAGGATAACTGATAGACAAATCATTCATTATCTTCTCAAAAGCATCTTGGTAGCACATAATTGGGCAGTTTGTTTGGACAAGCTTCTTCAAAAGCAATTCAAGAAGAAACAAATAAGAATAAAAAAAATGAAATGAGTTTCTCCATAAACTAAAATTAGTTTATGTATAAGCTAATTTGTAGAAACTCTTTCGTATGTTTTAAGCTTATTATAGTTTATGGAGAAGCTTATATAATATGATTTTCTTATTATTCTTTCCTAAAAGTGTTTATGAAGAAACTTGTCCAATACAATTGAAAATGAAACTTCTAGTAAGGATTTTTAAATATTTTTAAACAATACCATCTATCACTAGTCACCATGTTTGAGACATCTATTCAATGTTTTGAAGATAATTTTTCTAACAGTTCAGAAATCTTTCCCCCCTCTTACATACAGATTTCTGGACTGCATTGCTCCAACTGAGACCCCCGGTAGACACTTGCTAATATCTTTTTTCATGGAAATCTAATAAACACAACAGCACATACACTAGTAACTAGCTACACACCTTCAGCCGTTCATGTGCTTCTCCCACAGTTCTTCCATCTCTTTTCTTGCGCCAGTTATGACCGTCTCTCCGGAAGAAACGCAGGACTCTTTTGTTGAACAGAAACAGGGATCCACCTGTTAAGTAGATCAAATGATAATGTTGACAATCAGCATTTTACAGTCATTCTGATTAAACAGGCAAGAATGAGAAAGGTTATCATTTTTCTTATTTCTATAATCCATCGGAAAAAGGGAACATGGATGTTACTGGTTGGCTGTTGCGGGGGCTCTTGGGTGAACTGGAACTTTTCATGATTCTGTAAAATGTACATCACTTCTGCAGGCTTCAGCCATCTGGCCTGAGCTTCTTGATGCAGATCATTAATATCGTATTCGTAACCTGAAACAACAACCATAAATAAGTCAAACAAGATAGAACTCTTTCTGCCATCATCTTTGTTTTCTTTTGTACCTTCTTACAGTAGATGAATTATATAAGACCGGGACATTTTTATGCATCAGGAAGAACTTTACCATGAAAGTAACAACTTAAATTTTTCTTCTCCGGACCACCAATCAATTACTCCAATATTCCATATAATTTGGAAGCAAAATGTGTTAGGGATGGCAAAATAATTTAGTAAGTTAAATCAATATGCAAAAAGCATGCTACATAGAATGTACCAAAATGCTTTAGTGTAACTGCGAGTGTTTAATTTTCACGGATTCCAAACTATAAGAGATTCCAAAGCTCACATGGTCTCAATTGAAAGCACCAGGGACAGAAAACTAAACAAAATGCACACACAAAGTCACAACTGATGTGGTTCACTTTAACTACCCAATCAAACCAAGTCAAACTCAATTCACTTCACCGTACATCGCACCCAAAACACCAAAAATCCCAATTTTACAGTTTCTTTTTCCTTTTCTAAAGAAAACATCATCAAGAAAAAGTAAAGACACGTTTTACCAGGTGTCATGGTATTGAACTAGAGGAATAAAAAGCTAGAAGTGGGACTGGAGACAGAGCATTTCTGGAACCGGAGAGGTGCGGTGCGAGTTGGTTCCGAAGAATGGATCGGAGAAAGGAAGTTCAAGAAACAGAAAGCTGAAACAGACACAATTGATTCAAGGTTTTGATGAAGGTTAACCAACCATGCTTTTATTACACAACTTTTTTTGTTACAATTTTATTAAACAACTTGAAGACCACGACCAAGACCAAGACAAGGGATGCGAGAAACTTTATTTTAGATTTCTGTCTTTCTTTTCCCACCTCTTTAATTTATTTTTAGATATTTCATGATCTATTTGCAGTTATTATAAAAAGACTGAGCAAGTTTGATTTTTCTGACCAGTAAACACACTCAGAATTTACTTTTATTTTTTCAATTTTGTCAACTCCTTTTTAAATATTAAAATAATTTAAAAAGACCGAATACATATTTTTAAAATGTAAATAAATATAAAGAACTTTTATTATTGATATTTAATTATTTATTTTTATTTTAAAAAGAATATTTAATGGGTGGAAGGGAAAATATATTGAGTGGATGATCGATAAAATTAAAATTTTTATTAAGTGTGTTATAATAATTTTGCATGTTATGATAAAAAGTTAATTAATATAAAAAATAATTGACGTGAATGATAAATTAAAATTACGCTTTCATTACGTATGTTTATAAGAGTATAATTAATAATTACAAACATAATAATAAAATTATAATTTTATTATCAACATAATAATTAATAATTATTTATTACAAAATTTATAATTTTTTACAATAATATTTTTTTTACAATTTTTTTCCTCATAAAAGTAAAAATAAAATATTTGAGTCACATATGTTTTTTATTATATATATTTTTTCTTTCCACTCTCAAACAAACGTATCCTAAGAATCTGATTATTATTTTTAAATAACATATTTTATTTTAATCACTTCTTTTATTCACAAATATTTAAAAAGACTTTGCTTATAGGATCTCTTAGTTATTGCTTTGAGAGTGTTAGTATTTTTTATTTTTATTTTTCGGAAATTTAAAGCTGGTGAGTATGTTTTCTCCTTTAGTTTACCTTTTAAAAAGTATTATTTTCATCAAATCGTTTTTTTAAAATAGTTTTTTATTAAGTTTTTCTGAAAAAAAAACATTTTTATGGAAAGATGAAATAAAGATTTTAATAAAAATAACGTATTATTAGGTCAAGTTAATTATAATACAATGAAAACAAAATTGAAAATATAAAATGGAGTGTGAATGTTAGTTGAATGTCTTGTGGGGAAGCTGCAGAGCAATGCAATGATATGATCATAAAAGAAGACCTGATCATTATTAAACACAAACGACAAGTTGTGTAGGTCTGAACCATGCTTGAGATTTAATGTGAAATTCAGGTAGGTGAAGAGTTAATTATTTGAAGTTGATATGGTAAGGGCTTGATGGATAATACAATAGTAATTTTCAATATTTAAAAGAGAAAATCACATTGACTTCCTCTATATTTCAAAATATTGAAGTTAAAAAATAAATATAAAATTGAAAATTTAATAATAATATAAAAATAAATATTAACTTTATAATATAGTTATGAGGATTTTATATGTATAATTCGTTTTTTTAGACGTAATTTGATTAATTTTTTTAATCTTTTGATTTGTTTTGTTATTTCAATAGTTAGGTTTGGGCTAAAATTAGCATAAGGACTGGATTGATAATACACTAGTAATTTTCAAGAAAATCACATTACCTTCTTCTATATTTCAAAATATTAAAGTCAAAAGATAAATATAAAATTGAAAATTAATAATAATATAAAATAGTATCTAGTTAAAGTTTTTAGTAAATTAAGTGTTAATTGTTTTAAATTTTGAACATTTTTCTTATAAATAATATTGGAAAAGTCATACAGAATATATTTTTTTCATCTTAAACAAACACGTAAATTAATTAGTAAAATATATTAATATATAATTATTCATATAAAAAATAAAGTTCCAGTTTTCAATAAAATTATCTCGTTCTCTTATCTGAAATAAATGAAACTTAAAGATTTGTGAAACTTAATTTAACACAAAAGAATGAATGAAAAATATTTTATAAAATATATGAAAGTAAAGGAAAATCAAATGTTAGGTTATAGTTATAATATTTCATTACTAATTTTATGTATTTTTACATAAAACATTATAACATTTAAAAGGAAAATCATTAAAATCGAAAAGTGCTTGTCTGTTTGTTTTTTCAAAAATTAATTTTTAGTTTTTTAATTTCTAAAAACTAAAATTTTGTTTGATAATTATTTTATAAAAAATAAATATATTTTGATTTTTTTGGTTTTAAAACTAATTTTTTTAATAAAATATGTTTTTATTTTTTTTATTATTAATGATATTCATATTTTTAATCAATCATTATCTTATATAATTTTTCTTCATTATTACCAAGTATTTTTAACATAATTATGAATTTTTGTCATCGATGCAATTTTATTTTATTTAAAATATTTTTCAAATTAAAATACCAAATAATTTTCTTTTCAATTTATTTTCAAAATATTTTTTCTATAAATTGATTTCTAAATTAAAAAAAAACAGTAAAAAAATAAATTAACGTATTAAAAAAACTCTATTTTTTATTTTCTTAACGATTTAGTATCAATTTTTTAAAAATAAGACCTAAAATTGAATTAGTACATAAAATTATCTTAATTTAATTAAAAAAAAAACCGAAAGATTTTAAACAAATAATGTCCAAGGTAAAAATATTAGTTCTAACCTTTCAAACACAAAATTTCTTAAATAAATTTTATTCTTTAATCCATAGGTTAAATAAATAATTATCAATTGTTTATAAATATATAAAGAATATGAAAAATTGAATGTTTATAAAGTTATTGTTAGACAAATGACATCTAGAGGAGGGTGGATAGATGCACAAATTAAAATAGATGCACAAATTAAAATAGATGTCAAATTAAAAATTTATTTGTGAGTCAATAATTTGTTTGAACATAGATAAAATGGAAGCAATAATATAATCAGGAAAAAAGAAAGAGATAAGGGAAAAAGAAGAGCATACAGCGATTTATACTGGTTCGGGTATAGCTAACCCTACATCCAGTTCCCAGTCAACTCTTAACACAAGAGTGACTCCCCATTCACTATTTTTCAAATTCAGTTTACAAATTACAATCAACTCAGCAGAATAACCAGTAAAAAGTAAACTAATTAAAAAGACAATCACCTCCTTAGAAACCCACTAAGGATGAACATCTCCCTAGAATCCCACTAGGGATGAACACCTCCTCTGAACAAATCAAAGGATGAACACCTCCTTAGAATCCCACTAAGGATGAACACCTCCCTAGAATCACACTAGGGATGAACACCTCCCCTCTGAACAAATCAAAGGATGAAAAACACCTCCTTAGAATCACACTAAGGATGAAGGTAATAAAAATAAGAATAGACACACCTGGGTAATGGAGACAACAAATTGTAGAAGCCTGTAGAATGCTAATCTCCAAGAACAAGTGTGATTAACAATGAAAGCATATAAGGCAGTAGAGAAGAGGGTTTTCTCAGAAGGTGTAAAATATCTCTGTTGTCTTGCTCAGAATTCTTTTCTCAAAATTGATTGAATGTAAATTGTATTTTCGAATTCTGTAATTGTGTATTTTTTATTTTTCATCAAAACTTAATTAAATAGAAAAATAACATCAGAAAATGGTCGTTGGACATTAATAATATCATAGAGAAAATCAGGAAGTATTCAAAAATATTTATTCTTTAAAACGAATATATTTTTCAAATTTGAATTGTCATAATTGATTATATTACCAGTATAATCAATTTTGACAGAGAAAATCATTTTTCCATTTCTGATGCATCATAATTGATTATGACAGTGAAAAATATCATGTTATGAATTTTATCACACTTGTGCTTTGGAGGCTTATGCATAATATTACTTCATCAACTTGTACCTCCATATCCAGTATTCTAAGACTCTATCTAGTCTTCAGGAATCATCTTGGGATTGCTTGAATCATCATCTTTATCAAAAGCATATCTTGGGCATGTAGGGAAATGTTTCACATTTTCACCAATGTCATAAATTCAGCTTGTCCTTAATTCATCTTGAATGGTGTTGACTTGAATGTAGTTGACTTGAATCATCATCAAAATCATCTCTTGGGAATGTAGGGATATTTCCATCAATCTCCCCCTTATTGCTTTCAATCTCCTCCTTTTTTATGATGATCAAGGAAACACCTGAAATGAATTATAATGCTTGATTCTATATAGCCAGCTCAAGATTAGCACATATTTGTATCAAGTGTCAGAGTCTCTTAATCTATGCCTGGATATATTAATAACAAGACTCCCCCTAACTCATATGAGCAAAGACTTCTCTTAACTCCCCTTGTTTAATTTAGATAGGAAAGAATTTCACACAGATTTTAATTCATCAAAAAATCTCCCCCTGTTTCATTGATAATCATAAAAAATATTATAAGAAAAAATCTTCCCCTGTTTCACACAGATTAATATCATCAAAATATCTCCCTGTTTCATTGATAATTATAAAAAAATATTATAAGAGAAAAAAAATTTCCCCCTATTTCACATAGATTAATATCATCAAAATATCTCCCTATTTCATTGATAATTATGAAAAATAATATAAGAGAAAAAAATCTCCCCCTATTTCACAGATTAATATGATCAAAATATCTCCCTGTTTCATTGATAATTATGAAAAATATTGTAATAGAAACTGAGAACAAATTTGCACATATTAGTACATAAATCAAGGTAGAGAAGATAATGCATTACAAAGTGTCATAGAGAAGAATATCATATTAGAGAGACAATATCTAGGATACCCAAGACAAATGAAAAGAGAGAAAGATAGGGGAATAAAATGATTATAAAGATAATTGAATGAAATGCAGTAGTTTCCCCCAATTGCA